CATCGCCTGGCGATGCTCTTCCGTCCTAGTAATAAACTAACATGTTGCTTGTTTTTGAGTGGAGCGGATCGCCAACCAGCCTACCGGCTTGTATTAACAATTTCTCAATCCCAATCCGCTTAGAATCTGACCATTTACCTTTGAAGTTTGTCATGAATATTTATCCACATTTCGATTTGTGCTACCATGAAAATTTAAATATTTCTTATTCAAAATATGTGTGAAACCCTGATAAACCGAATAATTTGTTAGTCATATGTGTTCAGTTATCTCGTTTTGATAACTTCATTGAGGATCCAAACTCTTCTATTGAGGATTTTACACTGCAATTTTCTGAATTATGTCGCAGTGGTGCTACCAAATGTAACGTGGTTAAAAGTGTTGTTATTCTTTCTCACAATACTCGTAGACAACCTGTTTGGTTTGACGATGACTGTAAACAATTAAAGTCTTACAAATACAGTTTGCTTAGACAATTTCGAAAGTATGGGAATCAACACCTTTTGAATGAATTTAGTGACGCTATGAAACGTTTTAAAGCAATGTGTCGTCATAAAAAGAACATTTCTTTAAAATAAAAAAGCCAATTTAATAAGTTCTTTAGCTAATCTTACAACATTTTGGTCAGCATTCAGAAACCATACTTTTACGTCTACTCCTAGAGGCGCTCAAATTGCCTCTGATGAATGGTATGATTATTTTAAAGATCTGTTTTCACAAAATTTTTAAGAAGGGTTCCACAACCTTATAGGGGAATTTCTTTGCTAAGTATTTTCAGTAAAATGTTTACTTCTATTTTAAATGGTCGTCTTGTTTATTGGGCAGAAGTACTGAAGGGTAAGCTGGTTTTAGAAAGAGCTACTCCACTATTGATAATATTTTCATACTACAGTCATTGATTCAGACATATCTTACTATAAAAAAAGAGTAAATTTTACTGTGCTTTTATGTGATTTCTCCAGGTAAATTACATAATACAAGTCAAATGGGTTTTCAACTTGCACCTGATCTGACTGAACTGTTCCGTTTATTATTTGCCGATGATGTTGTTCTTTTTTCAAATAGTGTTATAGGTTTACAAAGATTGCTAAATGGTTTAAGTTCTTATTGCAAACAATGGAAAATGTCTGTTAATGTGCAGAAAACAACAATTATTGATTTTAAGTGTGGAAGGCGTGTTGCAATGAACAATAAAAAATGGTCTTTTAAAAGGGAGAAGGTTGGGGTTGTTTCTTATTATAAATATGTTGGGTATTTGATTTTCCTGTCGTCTTAAGTGGCCGCACGCCACTAACGTTCTTGCTCAGCAAGGAAAAAGTCTCGTTTGAGTGTTTCAACTAAAATTGGCTATAATGGTCAACTTCCCCTTGACGCATTTTCCAAAATGGTTGATTCAATGGTCGTCCCGATTTCAACGTACGCCTCTAAAATCTGGAGATACCAATGTTATGAATATTTAAAACGTGTTCAAATACTTGCATGTCAAATGTATTTGGGCGTAACCAAAAATGCACGAATGTGGGCGTTACCCAATTTATTTGTTAATCACAAAGAAATGTATTGAAAATTGGGCCAAAGTGATTAATATGCCAATTCATCGTTTATAATATTGAACTGTGGGCTGTACGTTTAAAACATACCCAGGTTAACGAGACAAAAGATTTGTTATACTTATGTAATTTACATGATGCTTGGGAAACTCAACAAGTCTGTAACATAGATGATGTTGTTAAGTTATTCACTTCACGTTTTAAGGAAATATTGTTTTCTGAATGGTATTACGAAATCTTGATAAATTGGTTACTTATCGTAGTTTGAAAACCAACATAGAACCCGAAAGATATCTGTCACTTGTAATGTTGTAACGTTTACGCTGCTCCTGCCACCATTTACGTATTGAAACTGACAGAAAAAATAATATTGAAAGACATAAACGGTTTTGCATCCTATGTGATTCTAATGAAATTGAAGACGAGTACCATTTTGTTCTTTGTCTTTGTTTTTGTCTGCCCTTCGACACCGTCCGCCAATATTGTCTAGCATTATTCTTATGGGAGGGGTGGATCCTGTAAGTCAGAAATCAACAAAGCTCCTACCATATATTTTTATGGTTGTACCCAATGATTATTGGAGTTTGAATAATCCATAATTACAGCAAGGTTTAATTTTAGTGGATTTAGTGCTACGATAGATTCAGTCTTTTTTCTCCTAGAAGAACATGTTTAACAAAATAATGTTAACATATATTCATAAATGCAACTATGTTTAGTTCACTTTGCTTCATCTCCCGTAAGTAACGTGAATTAGAGAAATAACAGAAGATATATGTGACCGCCACTACGAATTATGTACTTGGTAAAACGCCAGGTAAACCTTCACTATGTATACATTAAATGGGACGAAGATTACATGACTAGCACGTCACCATAAAAGTTCTTGATATCGGTCACATGTACTTGATGAATGACTTAAATGTAAGTGATGCCATAGTAGTTTTAATTTGTTATAGCAAATACTGTGTAATGTAGCGTTTCTTTCTTGTGCGATGTATCGCCGGCGGTGATTGCCTGAAAGTAGCCACCGACGCATTGTACACAAGTGATAGTTGTAGTAATTTTCCAAGTTTTGCATGACGTTACTTTAAATAGTGCTTACCGATAGTAACAAATATTATAGAACAATAGAATAAAATACTTAATTGATTTGCATGGAAACTTGGCAATACAACGACTGACAATATTGGAGAGTAAGGTATCACTCTGTCTGAATACAAGGCCTACTCTCTGTAATACCTGATGACTTGAGAGAAAATATTCATGCCAATACCCATGAGTGGTCTGATTTTCGAAATGAAGTCAACTGAAATTCTAAGTCAAACAAAATGTAATTTTTAAACTGCAACAATCTCCACAGATTATGGAGCATTTCAATACAAAATTCTACATAGAGTTCTATCAACTAATTTAATACTGTATAAATGTAAAATAATCGGCCCCACTGTTCTTTTTTTGAGAAAGTAGAAGAAACATTAGAACACCTATTTGTTAACTGTAATGTTGTAAAGAGACTGTGGAGACAGCTTAAAGCGATTGCACACTTATTGTGAATACTGTTTATGTTGTCAAAGATATAATTATAGATCTATATGAACTTGAAAATATATCACTAAATTTTATTTTTCTATTCAAAAATATGTATACACCTGTAGAGTTCAAAAGGTTCATCTAACAAAATATGCATATACAAGTTGGATCAGGGAAAATATAAATATTGAACTACAAATCTCAATGAACTTAAAATAAGATCACATTCATTACCAGAAATAGGAACCACTAGATAATTGACTAAATATTGGACAAATGTAATAATACGTTATACCAGATCAAATTTGGATTTGTATTTATTCTTTTTTTCTCTCGTTTCTCTCTATATACCACTATGTAATGTAAGATTTTGTGTGTTGTATGTTCATATTATTAATACGAAATAAAAACATTATTTAAATACAAAAAAACCCAGAGGAACACAATCACAAGAATTTTGGTTTAACTGTATTTAATTATCAACTATATACACCAGAGAAAATAAAATACATGTACATTAAAAAACATAGTAAGTTATAAATCATTAGCTGACCTATTAATTAATTAAGTAATTTATTGATTTACTAAAAATGAAACTGACGTAACCATAGAGCGTCGAGGCGCATGAACTACGGGAGACGAGTTATTAGTTCACACACGAGTTGAGCGGAATTCAAGATGGTGCCACGCATGATTTGTGTGACGTCGCTGATAAAAATGACCCGTAACACTATTCAAAGGTGAACTATTTTCAGACCGTTGCCAGAGAACGATTGCCTTATCATTGTATACAATTCTGAAGATGCTTTTGTCATGAATTTGTTTTTGCGTATCTGTTAACCGACTTAATTAACTGATTATTAGCGAATTGCTGTGTTATGTCTGTCATCGTGTAGGCCTATTTGTTTTGGACGGAACTTGGCTCAGTGATTTGGAACTAATTACCAGATAATCGTCGCCATTTTGACAGTTTATATTCATAGTTATTAATGTAGTGAACGATTAATCAAAAGATATGACGTATTCAGTACTTAGTGTGATTGGCTTTATGATTGAAGGTTACGCCCTAGAGTCTTTTTACTGCTTTGTAACTGGTTAGAGTTTTGAAAATGAATAAAGAGAGTTTGAGTTGGTCTTGGGGAACACATCACGATAGACGCGGTAGAGAAAGTGCAGTCCTGGGCAGTCGAGAGTGCAGTCCAGGGGCGAGCCTTGAGGCAGTTGAGGAGAAAGAGACTCAATTCTAGACAATGTGGCTTCAAAAAGACTTGTTCTGGCACACAGTCAGCTGGCGCACACGTGATAATAAAATAAATACGAGATTAAGCCAGCCGATAACAAAATTCGGCCGAATTCGGAGTTTTTGTGTGGAAAAATCCTTTGCATACGGACACCTAATTAAACGAAGAACCTAGAACACTTTCCTGGGGGTATTTGAAACTGAAATTGTCATCTGACATCTGGCTTAATATTATCCCAATGGATCGTATTTCTGTGAAAGATTTGTATTTTTGTCCAGATTTGTAGGAATCTAAAAAACGCGTTTCACAACTTGTCTCTTATTTAGTTTTATGCTGCATTCAAGATGGCGGCCCCCATATAGTAAATATCATATTTATTTTATTATCACGTGTGCGCCAGCTGACTATGTTCTGGCACACATTTGTATAGCCTATCGATGTCAGTACCCCTCCCGAGGCCGTCTTTAAGCCTCCTATTTATGTTGCGATTTACTTCATTATTTGCTTTTCATCTTAGTTTGTATATCTGTTTTTCTTTCTTCCTTAAATAAATATATTCAACATATTTTTTATTTATGTTGCAATGTGTCACGCGGTGCATTATGTTGTTATTGTCAAAATACTACGTTCTCGCATTCGCTGTGGCGCCCTTTCCAATTTATATGTGTTATATGTGTTTAACAGTTTACCGCAGGCAACCTACAGTAAGCGCCGTGGTACTATTTTCATACAGGTATGTTTCTCTACTTTCTGTTGTTACAAATATCCAACTCTATACAGTAGCTTCAGTTTTCAAAGCAACGTTTTCAAATCTGCTAATGGTTAAACTGATAGCCAGGCAAACATTCATCGTAGGAGCGAGAGCGCCAGGGATGTTCGTATATTGCACTCACATCACAGCCATGACAACACCAAATGTTCCACATCAAAACGTGTGGTCAGTTGTTTTCGTTGGTTGACCACTTCATAAAGTCTTATGTTTTAGTATGAACAGTGAATTCTAACAATTATAATAAGCATACGCTAATAATGCCAATATACACTTGTTTTACAGGTAACCGCTATGGGACATGATATTAGTGTATCAGCCCCTCTTTGGAGGAATGCCGTTGTTAGGTTGTTTGGTATATTTGTATGCGGAATTGTTCTCGGAATGGGATTGTGTAAAATGGTAAGCTATGATTGAAACCGACGTTCAGTATCAACATGAAAACAAAAATAAAATATAAATAGAGACTTACTGAATGTAACTATGTTATTTGTTTGATATTCACTCCACAGACGGATATAAGGCATATTAAAAACATTTAATTTTCAACCAATGCAACGTTTATGATACTACAATGCAAAAGTTAAAACAAATAACCATGAAATAATTAAGTTAATGTATTGCACACTTAGGTGATGACTGATCAAATAACACGTCACATGATACGGCGAGATGATCGATCCGGTCTATCTCAACTGATCAATCAATTCGATGACCCAATGACTCCAAGTAGCGAACGAGTAGCAGAAAAGAACAACGTGAGTAACTTTGAATACGACAGTTACGGCCGTTATGGTCTGGATTGGACAGGTATTGTAGCTGAACTGGAGTGGATGTACCGTCACAATAAAGAGAAATCTGAACACAAAAAACTTACATTGGTTAATTTTGAAATCGGTAAAGCGTCGTCTGGGCAGACTTCGTTGGACCATACTAAGTAAGTGAAAAGAACATCACAGAATAGTTTCGTGATTTGTAGTTGAAAAGCGCTAAATTGTAATCTTCATAATTATGTGTCGCCAAAAACAACCTTGTAACATTTCTCTCTGTCAAGCTCACCAACAACTTTCAAGTTATACTATCAATGCGACGTAGAATATGCTGATAATTTATATTAAAATATGAGTATTCCTATTACTTATATTATTTCCATATAAATAAAAGCTGTTTACTTGGAGCTCCGATGACAGCAAGTCAAAATATGAACCATTACATTACAATGCGATCGGACAAACGAGAATCAATAGTATTGGACAGCCGCTTCGAAAAACAATAACATTTTTTTTTCATTTGGCACATGCTATACGTGAAAAGCTTACTAAAGAGTTATAATTTATAATTTTATTTAATACAGTTTCTTTTGTAGAAGCGTGCTTTATTCATATAATATTCAGTGACTGCTGTTTGAGTCGACAGTATTATTCCTGACTGACTGACGTATTTCTTTATAGATTGAATCTTCTTAATAACAAAATACAACATCGAAATATGGTCCACGTAGTCATACAGGCGTACGATGACTATAATAACAAGCAGTGTCGAGGTGGTGATTTTTTCTCCGCTGTTATGTCCAATGAGAAGCTACAACAGAGTACTTCCGGTAGAGTGTTGGATTATGGGAATGGCACATATTCAGTGTTATTTTATGCTGCATGGACAGGAGATGCCGAGATAAACATCGTGCTCACCTCAACCAGAGAAGTAAATGATTACCTCCAAAAAATGTTAAAAAGAAAAGTTACCATGCATTTAGGTGCTATATACAAGGATGGTACACATACAGAAGAAACCAAATGTTCTATTGTCAGCAAAGTCCCATGGGAAAAGAAATGTGAATATAGAAATCCTTCGGCGTTTGGAAATACTGTGATATTATGCGACAAACCAGAAAACATTGCCTGTGAAAAATTGGTGAATATTAGTTCCGGTGTCCCACAGTCCGGTGACCTCACCAGTGCCGAAATGCAAGCACTTACTCTACTGTATGAAGGGTAATACCCACATGATACTTAACCTTTCTTTTTTCATTCTTCTATTGTTTGCTATAATATACGATGGACAGATATGTCTGTGTAAAAAATGATTATATCTGTACCGCCAAATGCGACCTCTTCTTAATCTTATTTTGGAGGTGGGTCACAGCTCCGGAAATTTTTATTGATATTATTTATATCTTCCTTAGCATTCTAGAAAAAAGAAACTACAGAAAATGTTCATACCATGCATACTAATCCGTTCACGCAAACTTTCTGAAAGAGTTATTCGTTTTAGATCTTTTTTTTTTTGAAGGAGGTAAATGAGCCTAGGGTTATTGGCGGCACAGTCATGATATATATGGAGAACCCGACACTTATCATGTTCACACAGTATAAATACAGTCCATGTCAATCGTGGCAGTTGTATTTTCTGGCATGAAATGTATAACTACTAAACGTACAGCCATCTATCATTATACCAATTCCACTTGCACAAGAACATTTGGCAAACAACTCCACAATAAAGTAGAAATCTCCCAAATATGCCCAGTCAAGCATACAAAAATGTTCTCGAAAGAATTCACAGTATGTTAGAAAACAAAACAGGACACATTTTTTATAGAATGCTACATTGCTCGAATGTGTTGTTGGTATTTTGCAGAAAGAATTCAAACCCCCGGATAAAAGGAACACCCATCAAAATTAAAATTGTCGGTAAGTTGGATAAAATCACTTTGTGTTTATGGACGCATATACAGTAGAACAATGGTTTTGCAATATATAACAAGAAACATTTTTGTGTTGTTTTTAAATTGAATTTAAAATTTTGTTGCCAATTGTAGATATTATATATCCTAGGTTGGCACCACTCAGAGCTATTATTGTATCTACTATAATATTTGTACCGATAATATTGTATACTAATTTTTGGTGTCACGCGGGGATAATATCGTATATCCTATTTTGGTGTCACACAGCGATAATATCGTATATCCTATTTTGGTGTCACACAGCGATAATATCGTATATCCTATTTTGGTGTCACTCAACGATAATATCGTATATCCTATTTTGGTGTCACTCAACGATAATATCGTATATCCTATTTTGGTGTCACACAGCGATAATATTTTATATCCTATTTTGGTGTCACTCAACGATAAAATCGTATATCCTATTTTGGTGTCACTCAACGATAATATCGTATATCCTATTTTGGTGTCACTCAACGATAATATCGTATATCCTATTTTGGTGTCACACAGCGATAATATCGTATATCCTATTTTGGTGTCACTCAACGATAATATCGTATATCCTATTTTGGTGTCACTCAACGATAATATCGTATATCCTATTTTGGTGTCACTCAACGATAATATCGTATATCCTATTTTGGTGTCACTCAACGATAATATCATATATCCTATTTTGGTGTCACACAACGATAATATCGTATATCCTATTTTGGTGTCACTCAACGATAATATCGTATATCCTATTTTGGTGTCACACAGCGATAATATCGTATATCCTATTTTGGTGTCACTCAACGACAATATCGTATATCCTATTTTGGTGTCACACAGCGATAATATTGTATATCATATTTTGGTGTCACACAGCGATAATATCGTATATCCTATTTTGGTGTCACTCAACGATAATATCGTATATCCTATTTTGGTGTCACTCAACGATAATATCGTATATCCTATTTTGGTGTCACTCAGCGATAATATCGTATATCCTATTTTGGTGTCACACAGCGATAATATCGTATATCCTATTTTGGTGTCACTCAATGATAATATCGTATATCCTAATTTGGTGTCACACAGCGATAATATCGTATATCCTAAAAGGGTAAAAGGCACGTCCCCATAATGTGATTTGCATTAAGTGCCCCCCCCCCCGAATCATAACGTATCTATGTATTGTGAGTCTGCTCAGAAATAAAAAAAGATCTGTCATACGCTTGAGGGAATTATACTCCTTATTTTCGCGGGACCATTCAACGCTTGAAAACTGGTCATCAGCCAGTCATATCATCTGTTACCATTTCGTCATCATGATGCGTGATCGATTCGTGACCATGATGTTATGTCACAGTGATGTTCCAACTTTTTTATTATCATGATGTCATCCAATGTATTCTTTCATAATATAAACAAGCGTGTTCGAGGAAAACTGTTGGTCATGACCATATAACGCGGGTTCTTTGTAAGAGAACTGA